GAAAAATCTGACAAAAAGAACAGTATTGACCCCCCTGCCCCCCCAAAAAAAGTCCCACAATTTGGAGGACGCAAAAAGCATAACGACCCATACCACTGAACAAAACAGACATAAGACAGTAATTAAAAAAAGTAATATATAAAATTATAAATATAATTTTAAATGTAATATAAAGTATTACATTCTCAACAGTTTGGGTGAGATATAATTCGAGTCACATTACCAAGAAGATTTTCACATTTCCTTTGCATTGAAGGCCTTCAATGAAAGGGTCCCATATATTTTTATACTTCCTCTGTATTAATACATTGTAACCTGTCTAAGTGTATAAAGAAGACTATTTCAGAAAGCCCTATTCTTAAATGAGAGGGGGAATTTGGATTTCCTGTCCCTGTGAATAATCCTTTTTGCCAAAATCATGCCAAACAATAATGCCTGCTGTTGACTCTCTGGTAAGGAAAGTACGGTAGCCAAACAACAGATCAGAACCAATAGTGGATGAGGAGAAATGGGGTCATACCTTTTGGTTCTGCTCCAAGGTTTCATTAAACGCCTTACATCTATCACAAAGTTTAGAGATAGAAGGATAGATCTTATTTAATTTCTCTTTTGGAGTAATCTATGGATCTTAAATCACATTCATTGTAGAAAACTCATATTTTGTTAAGCTAGTTTCCTCTTCCTTATGCAAGTGGATTATCTTATATCTAATCTCCTCAGAAACCTCATAATAACTTGTACTCTGCATATATTTAACTTCTTTTGTTCATGTGGACCTTCCCTCCATTTGTGCTCTGGACCGTCAGAGCCCTGAAGCGTTCTTCTTTGCTATGGCCACAAGGTGGCGACAAAGACATGCAAAAACCCAAATGACTTGAAAAAAAAATGCCGCCCTTGTCTTCTGCACAGCGAGAAGTACCTTAGAAAACACTTACCTTTGTCAGAGCAAATGAGATGAACAGCACATTTGGCGTAAATTGTCTGAATGCATAAATCGTTTTGTCCAAGAATGTCCAAAATCCTGGATTATGGCACATCCGTCATTGCGATTTACAAGCCAGCTAAACCATTCACGAACGACTGCTTCCTCTCCAGTTATAACTGTGAGTGTCTGTCGCCTTACTGGCTACTTGGCTCTTAGTTTGTGCCTAGTTCTTGGTTTTTAGCCACTTGGTTGGACCCTGCGAACTTGTAATGTCTATGACATCCGTAGGGGGTCGCAGGTGTAACATCACCCTAGATAACATTAGGGCTACAGAGCAGCTTTAGAGTTTACAAGCCACCTCACTGTCTGCACGTGCCGCTAATAGGCTCCGTGACAGTCACTAATCAGCTTCAAAACTGCTTATTATGATTTGGGAATGATAGCCTTTTTGTCACTATTTATTCTTATTTACAGTCCAGTTCAAACTTGAACTCAGGCTACTTTTTCTCCCAAAATAATCCAATGATACCACAAATGTCCCACAAATACAAATCGGGTAAAATCTCTAGAAACAAAATTATAAATTATATATATATATATATATATATATATATATATATATATATATATATAACTACATTTTCTGACATTATCGCTGTAAATCTCGCGCTTGATTTCTTAAAGTCACTTAAACAACGACAAGACGAATATTCGTCTATAACTGAATAACTGGCAACGCAAAAGGCACAAAAGTGTGAAGCATTAAGACTCTATAATATCACTTTGTTTTATTTAACAAATGTGTAGCGCGCTGATACATTAAAAAGCGAGCCAGCCAGGCGCGTGAGCGCTGTTTATACTGTATAAACATAGTTGTTTGGAATATAATACCTGTTTTGAACCTGTTTTGGACGTTTTAAATTTAGCTTTGACTGAGCGCATCCTGACTGAAGCGTGTTCTACGCGCTATAATGCGAATTTCTGAATGAACACTATTACATTATATTTCTTACCATTATTCCGGTGTGTAGCGTTTGAGTGGCAGCTAATTCATCTTCAGCTGGATGTACCGGTGCTGCACTGCTGCTGGAAATGAAACGGTGCCACTTAGACTGGATGTGTTTAGAAGAATAGAGCTGACCCTCCAAACGCACAGATTATGCGGGCACTCTAAATGACCTCTATACTGTAAATGGCTGACCTCGGACTCTACATTAAGCTTGTCTGTGTATATACACACACACACACACACACACATATAATGTGGAGTGCAATGCTGTATGATTAGTCTTGTAGTGCTGCCATCAGATCACTTGATCAAGTCGAAAATAATCGTACCCCATAGCCTGCATGCTGTATGTAATCATATATTTATTAATTCGTTCATTTTTTCTTTTCATTTCCTGCAACTTTATTTAACCGGGAAAGTTTCACTGAGAGGTCTTCTTCTTAAGGCTGCTTATCATACTAATTAAAAGACGTAAAAATAAAATAAAATCACACAACCACCCACGAGAACACGTGACAGAAATCCCTCCAAAAACAGCCGCAATCATCCGCAAACCGCACATACATCCAATTCCCCCCAACACACACACACACACACGCACACATACACATACTCTCCGTGTTAAATATAACAGGGCCCACATTCAAACCCGCCCATAATCCTAGTCCAAAAAATATATATAAAACATAGCTTCCATTCTTTCTTTTCTTTTTGTTTCCCCCCCATTTTTAGAGGAAGGCGCGCGCGTCTCTTATTCAATAACGAGCCTCGTTCTCTCCATCATCCATCATCCCATTACGGCCAGCACCGCTAATGAATCACCGCCCCGAGCTCGTCAATAAAGTCATTCCGGTAAATGGTGTCTCCGGTGGCTCCGCGAGCCTCTTTTTTTATTTATTTATTTATTTATTCTTTTTTATCAGCACGCGGGGAGATTCCGCCTGGTTGTAGGCCGGTGATAAAGCGGCCCTGTCCTGCGCGCGCTAATTAAAACCTATACATTATAGCAGCGCGCGCGTGGCGGGCGCTCCAGATAAGAGGCGGCGGGAGCGCGCGGGCAGAGAGGCTCGGCGTCGCGAGCGCGCGCGCGGCTTTTGAAGAGCGCTCGGTGATAGCGGCCTAATTAGGGGCTTTATTATTAGTGTTATTATTATTATTATTAAAGCTCGAGCCGCTCCAATAAAGATTTCAAAGGCGGAGCGCTGCTGTTAGGGACCCGAGCCATGCGGACACCGCATAGACTGTGATCTGGCGTGCATGGACTCAATTATAGCATTTATCTGTTTGTTTGCTCGTTCATTCATCTATCTATCTATCTATCTATCTATCTATCTATCTATCTATCTAGTTGTATACATTGGCAGTTAATATTTGTAGTAATTACGAGCACTGCAGTGATTTTACACTGGTTACATTACTATTAAGTTTGCATCTTCATTTATTATGCATTTATTACGTGTAATAAGAAGTGTAAGTGAGTAATAAGTAAGTAATGATGGATACTGTTTTTCTACACCCCTCTGATGCGCACTCGGGAATAAATTTATTATGTATTTCATTTTTAATTGAAGAAATTAAGAAAGCTAAAGAACTTAAGAGTTAAACTTGATTTTTAGAATTTATTTTTTATTGTGGGTTTAATCATTCAATACTTTCAAAGCTGCTCTGTTCTGGCCACTTATTATAATTCAATGCTGAAGCTAAATAAATAAATATATAAACAAATAAATGAATAATAAATAAATAAATAAAGCCTCGATCTTTGGTGGAATGACGAAGAAACACACTGACTTAAACTCCTATGACGGTGTCTAACAGCCAAGCTGTGTAGAATGAAGAGTAGAAGAAAAATAGGCGCTTTATTATTTATCATCTTCCATAGTCTGTTGTTTTTTATTACTTTTTTAAACTTTGTTATTGAATAATCTGCGCAAGCATCTACAGAGATTTAGATGTAGCGCTGTGGTGGAGCTTTAACCGTAAGAAGTAGTGAAAGCGATACAGATTAGGAGAAACAGAATGAACTGCGTATTAGAGTTGTTATTACTACTACTACTTCTTCTATTATTATTATTATTATTATTATTATTATTATTATTATTATTTTTATATTAATAGTAGTAGTAGTAGTAGTAGTAGCAGCAGTAGTAGTGATAATAATATTAAAATTATTACATTATTTCTATAACTACAAATGATAATGACACTACTACTACTACTACTTATAATAATAATAATAATAATAATAATAATAATAACAATAATAATAATAAGAAAAAGAAGAAGAAGAAGAAGAAGAAGAAGAAGAATTGTCAAGAAAATGGTAAATAATAATATATCAATTGTAGTAAAAAAGTAGCAAAAAGATAAAAAGATAAAAAAGGGAAGAAAGTATATAATACAAATAGAAAATTTTAAATCATGCCTAATTATAATGACAAAAATAACAACAATTAGAAAATAGACCTAATAATAATCTGCAACTGTAGTTAAAAATAGTAGTAATAATAGGAAAAAAATAAAACAGTTGAAGCAGTAAACAATTTGTCATCAACTAATTGTGTTAGTAGTAAACAATACAAATTTAAAAATAAACAAATAATAATAAAATAGTAATAAGAAAAAAAAGAGCTAACAATAAGCTAATAATGACATAAATAATAGAAAGTAGTAATAGCAGTGAAAAGAAAAAAAATAGTTACAAACGGCAATTGTTAGCAAAGTAATTGCGTTAGTAATAAACAACAGCAACAACAATAATAAAAATAATAATAGTAATAATGGTATAATGGGTTGATCAGCAGCCGCTCCGTCCTCTCAGTTCTCTCTCCTGGTTAATAATCTCTCTTGCTCTCTCTTTAAACTCCGTCCCTCCTTTATTTTCACACCACCATCTTGCGCTTCTATTGGACGCTTCTTTCTCGCGACAGCTACGGCACTCTTCCTCCATTGGTCCGCCGCACGTGCGTCTCGCTCACGTGCTTCCGGTTGAGGGAAGTTAAAAAAACAGAAAGGAAAGAGAGAGAGAGAGAGAGAGAGAGAGAGAGAGAGAAAAAAAAAGTGTGCGAGGAGCGAGGCGCTTTTAGAAAGAGTTTGGGGAGAGAGAGCTGTCACACGGGGGCCGCGAGGCAGGGACGGCGGAGCATCGCGCGATGTGACTGTGCGAGTAACGGGCCCGTGATCCGAGCGCGTGCTGTGACGCTCCTGTTCATCTGAAGGTATTTGAAATACCTTTCTCACCGCAGCCTTTAAAAAACACAAAACAGCCCAAAACATTTGTTGTTGTTGATGTTCTCTCTGTCGTGTCCCGGATAAACAAATCAAAACACAACAAAAGTTCTTGGCAACAAGTGGAATTTCTGCGTCTGATTGTCCTTTTTTGAGCGTTTTTCTAATCGCGTGGATCGCGCGCGAGCCCCGCTATGGAGGAGCAGAAGGACCAAACCGGGCGCGATTCGAGCGAGGCTGAGCGCGCGGCGCCCTCCCTGCCGGCGCTGCCCCACCAGGCAGCGCAGCAGCTCCACCGGACCACCAACTTCTTCATCGACAACATCCTGCGGCCGGACTTCGGCTGCAGGAAGGAGCTCGCAGCGCGGGAGCGGGAGCGCGCGCACACCGCGGGCCGCGAGAACGTCAACCCGCTTGCCGCCAGGCCGACGCACGCGGGCGGCCTCCTTCGCCACGACGCCAACGACTGCACGACGTCGTCGTCGTCCTCCTCCTCGTCCTCCTCCTCACCTTCGTCGTCGTCGTCGCCGTCCTCCAAGACGACGTCGGCCAAGCTGAATACGGAAGGGAATGGGAGTGCGGCAGCCAAGTACGGGGAGCACGCGCCCATAATGGAGGTGAACGGGAAGAGTGGGAGCACGACAACCAAGGAATCGCAGCCGTTACTGTGGCCCGCGTGGGTTTACTGCACCAGATACTCGGACAGACCGTCATCCGGTAAGACCTGGTGTCTCAACTCTGCTTGGTTATCTTCAACAGTGATAGATAGATAGATAGATAGATAGATAGATAGATAGATAGACAGACAGACAGACAGACAGACAGATAGATAGATAGATAGATAGATAGATAGATAGGTAGAACAGTATATTTAATATTTTGCGTCTTTTAACAACGGCCAAGAACTGCCATTACCATCTCCAACAACAACAACAACAGCAGCAATAACAACAACAACAACAATGATAATAATAATAATAATAATAGTAATAATAATAATAATAATAATAATAATAATAATAATAATAATACATTTTACCGAAGTAAACCATGTGATATTACTGTTCATACTGTGCTCCCTCCAGAATCCAACATGTACTTATTAATGAGATCCCCTTCTTGTTGGGTTATCCTTTTTACTTCTTAGTATTGTTTTCATTGTTATAAATATTCACACTCGTAAATGTATCCTATATGTTCATAATTGTAAAACTTAGGAAGTTAGACTCATCACAATGACCAGCACACTGCTAGAGATTTATTAATATCAGTATGACTGTAGAGTCTTCTACTGATCTTTATTTGCAAGTATTAGTTTGGCTGATTTGACCACTATATATATACATACAGTGGTCATATATATATATATATATATATATATATATATATATATATAGTGGTATGCTGGTGCATTATACTGGTGCATTTGGACAGTGCATGTTCACGATTGCCATTATGCGGCTTGTCTAAATTATTTATTATTTTATGAAGAGGAAAACTTTAGTTAGCTGAAATTTATTTGCATGAGTGTCACTGCGTATGTGGGACAGTAATAAACTGATTAATTAGCTGTGCATGGACTAGACATGTAGTTCGCTTTGAGCAGATATTAGCTGTTCATGAGCGCATATAATGGAGATTTTCATTAATCGTATTATTTTACCATATTATTATAGGCTATAATAATAATAATAATAATAATAATAATAATATGACAAAGATTAGAAGGAGGAGGGGTTGCTTTACTAGATGTAGATTATTCGGTTATATAAAAATCTACATCTTTAAGCAATACCAGCATTTTAGTCTGCGGTCTGTTTTATATATATATATATATATATATATATATATATATATATATATATATTTGCTTTTTGTTTTTTGAGCATACATGCATATGATAACGCCAGTGCTGAGAGAAGAGAAAGTGTGTATGACGTGTTGACACTGAAGGCCACGTTTGGTTTTGACATGACCCTGAAGAGAAGATTTACGGCTTGCACGTGCAGCTCCTGAAAAATAAAAGCGTGCAAATTATAATATAATATAATATAATAAAATATAATAGAATATAATATAATCTTTTCCAAACAGGCCAGCGTGGGTATTGGGAATTTATTTATTTATTTAATTATCCTCTGCAGAGCATAAGTTATGGAGCGTATACCAGGCTATTATTAAGCGATTTAAAAAAGGCGCAGAGCATAAAGAAAGGCTTGTTCATACAGAAGGTGGCGAACAGAGACTCTCTGCGGTTTGGAACTGTGAGGAAAGTCCGGGGATCGAGGCCTACTCTGGCTGGTGCGTTTCTCTACTACGGTCAGAGGATACGACCATTTCGGATTAGCCCGTATGGCCACCAGATATAAAACTGCACTGCATTATTAGGATTTCCTCCCACTTCTGTCTCCCATGGATTAGAACACAGTGTATTACTTTAGTGCCACTCTATACGGTCATTTCCTCCATCTTTATTTAAAAGACCATTCAAAAGACTTGGCGAGAACTGCTGATGTTAAGCTTTTTGGCTTCAGCTGCGTCCCTATGAGACATAACCAATGTATTACCTGCTTTATTAATTTTTTTTTCTTTTTTTTAGAATAAACCCAAGGATGATCTTAAAGATTAGAATAGAATGGAATTCAATATTAGAGAATAGGTAGAGAATTGGCAAAACCTGTATTACAAGAACTTACAATTAGTAATGAATGCAGAGTCTGATCAGTTGGCTATTGTTAAGATGTATTAAGCTAAAAGAATTATACAGCTTTTATATGTTAAAATGTCGAATTAATTGAGCTTCAAATAATAAGTTAACAAATGTGTATCACTAATTATACTTCTGTATTTCCGCTATACTTAACATTACAAGTGAACTCTGAATTCCAGCTTAACCAAGTTAGTTACGCTTTTAAGTTTAAAAGCTGCATCATTTTTTACACTGAAAAAAAAATCGTACACGAAACCACGCACAACATATTTTTAGCCAGTGAATCTACATTCAAACACATTCTACATAGTCTACAATAAGAATATCCTAAAATCACACTCAGGCAACAGTAAACGTAGACTAGCAAAAAGAAAAAAAAATAAGAGTATAAAAAAAGGGATGAGATGAAAAGAACTGTTGTGGACCTTGATGGCACATCCAACATCTTCCAGCATGGGAAGTAAAGTTTGTTAGACGCTGTTCTTCTTTTTTAGATTGAAAATAAAACGCTAAAGCTCCAAACGCGAGCTTGGAGCAAATTTACAAATAAAAAAAAAAGAAAAGAAAAAAAAAACAGTACACATTTAAGACGATAGTTCTTCAGAGATTATTAAATAAATAGTATTTCTATATATAGAACCATAAAAGGTTCTATATAGAACTCATGGTTCTAAATAGACTAAAGAACCTTTGAAGGACCATGTTTTGTAAAAAAACTACACTTAAAAAAGATGATTCTTCAAGGGTTCATTAATAAAGACAATGAAGCATGAATGCTGAAAGAACCCTTCTTAGAACCTTTCCGAAGCTATAGCAGAACCCATTTTGCTACAATGTACATTTCCAAAAAGTTCTGTATATAACCCATTCTTAAAAACCCCAAAAACGTTTTATAATGCAAAGAGCCATTTAAGCATGAACAGGTTCTATATAGAACACCTATTGGTTATATAGGTTCTAAATAGACTAAGGGACCCTTAAAGACACGTCTTGTTTTTAAGAGTGCAGGTAGTTGGAATTAAAGCCAAGGACGGAATTTGAGAACTGAGGACCAAGTGGAATCACAGATTTACTCGACTAGGAGTTGAAAGCGTTAGCATTTGAAGAAATCCATCTGAAGCACATGGAACTGTAACCAATTACCAGCCACTTGTGTAATCCCCATCCTCATCCCTTTTTCCCTGGCTTTTCCAGCGTTGACTCCATGATATTCACGTCTGCGTGTCATTGTTGTCTCCACACCAGGCCCGAGGACGCGCAGACTGAAGAAGAAGAAGAGCGAAAAGGAGGACAAGCGGCCGCGGACGGCCTTCACGGCCGAACAGCTGCAGAGACTCAAGGCCGAGTTCCAGGCTAACCGCTACATCACGGAGCAGCGGAGGCAGTCGCTCGCCCAAGAACTCAACCTCAACGAGTCCCAGATCAAAATCTGGTTCCAGAACAAAAGGGCCAAAATCAAAAAGGCCAGCGGCTTCAAGAACGGCCTGGCCCTGCAGCTCATGGCCCAGGGACTTTACAACCATTCCACCACCACGGTGCAAGACGAGAAGGAGGACAGCGAGTGATCGAGTGACCTCTCGTTTTCTTCATTTAAAACAATTTAAACGAAGGCTATAGACGCTGACCCCAAGCGACTTGTTTTTCCATATCCTTTGTGCAACAAACGTATGGGGAAGAGGACAGCTCTCGAAGAGACCTTATTTAAGCAGATCTATCCTAGGCTACGATATACGGCCAAACATCTAAATACGAACACTATGGAGATTTATATATAGCCCAAAAAACTGTAAGATGTATATATTTAAATTCAGGTAAGGGGGAGGGGAAGGGGGGTTTTACCTGTGCGTCTCCTTACTTGCTGGACGTTTTTACCATTCACCCACACCCCCAACCCACCCCCCCCTCACCCCCACCCCCTCTCCCTGATGTTGTCGCTCAGTAGTTTTTTGTGTCTATAAAAACCTCTAAAAGTCCCCTATCTATCTCACCAACCAATCTACACACGCGTGACTGAACAACCGACGCTTCAAGCCAAAGATTTTAATATGTTTAGAGATTATGTTGTCTGAAATAATAAAAAAAAGAGGTAGAACGTGCCATTGTTTTTTTTTGTTTGTTTGTTTTTTTTTGTTTTTTTTGTACCAATGGATGCCAGAAGTGTAAAATTTGTAACATGGCCTTTTTTTTAAAATCCACCATCTGGGTCCTAATAAGCCTTTATTCGGTCTAAGTTATTTTATTATTTTTAATCTCTCACATTAAATTGAAATGATTTGTAATATTATAATAAGACATCATATGGTTGAATTGTAAAATTATTCATTTTTTTACGAGTGTGGGGAAGTTTAACATTAAGAACAATTATTACATGCAGTCGCAATGTTTGCGCTTTAGAATCAATTGGGTTGTGGTCACTTGCGTCATTGTGTATTTTGGACACATTTTCGCGCATTATTTATTTATTTTTTTTAATGTGGCTCTTTTCCCGCGCGCTTTCCAGGCATTTGGTGAGCCTGTCAACGAGCTGTTAGTGCGCGCGCACACACGCATACACACACACACACATAAATGAATGGTACGATTTTCGTACTACAGAAACGTATTGTATAGTCAATAAGAATGAACCGTATTATATTATATTATATTATATTATATTATATTATATTATATTATATTATATTATAGCTTTTCTTCATTCAGTCTTATAATCTTATACTCGACTGCCCCTCCACAAACATGACCTACAGCAAATGCATATAATGGAAATAATAAACGTAGGCCTTATCAATGCAATAATACAAGTAGATACCCCCCGTGTCATGTGATCATGTAGCCAATCGGTTTACAGACCCACCACCTCCAAATCAAAGGTGATTTTGCCAAAGTCAGTAGCTCAGCTGACCTTTCACCCCAGAAAGCCATAGCATCGACCATCCAAATATGACAGTAATAATTATGAATCATTGACGCTATTATCCATCATGATATTGATGATATTTATGGCGAGGCTGCCTTTGGAACGGCAGTGAGGAGCATGGGGGGCTTTTAGCTGAAGCAGTGGAATATAGTCTAACCAAGCCGTAAGCCGTATTATACTACAAATAGCACGTACTGCCGTGTGATCTTGAGCCCCGAGTGACCATGACGATGACTGATGCATTGCTCTCACTACAGCACTCCTACAGGTTAAAGGGTCAGCGTAAGCAGTCAAAACAAACTCTGGCGCTACAGGGCAACTGAGGGAAAAAGCAACGTCCATGTTAAGGATTTAAGGCTTTGGAGAGAGCCAGCCTGGTCCATTTACTTTGCTTTGAGGAAACCATGGACAAGATCGCAGTCTAATTCAAATATTAAGGCCTTGTTGGATCCCTACTGAGAGGCCATGAGTTAGTTAAAATTTTATGGAGAACTTTTGTATCTTGAGATCAGAAGACAAATAAGTTGTGATATCAAGACAACAGCTTTTGTTATAAGATCTCAACACAAATAAGTCATGATCTCAAGATAACAGTTTGGAAAATTCTAGCTATCTCATGGCCTCTCTGGACTCTTTACAAACTGAGTGTTGGGGCTCAACCGCATTTTAAGTGATTTTTTCAAGTGAATTTAAAATTGTTAATATGGTATCAATGGTGTAAACACTCAGGACGTCTCTTTGTAGATCCATGTGTCTGAAGACTGATAAACTATTGCAAGTCTATATGTATCAAGCTGTTAACATAACTTTATACATAAAAACATCTCGAAGTGAGAAGTGAAAGTATCCCATGATATCAACTTAAAAATTAAGACCTTCTTCATACCATAATAGTCCATCAGAGGAGTTCGAACACTATTGCAAGGCTGATGTAAATGTGATATTTTAGTTCAACAATTAATGAACATTAGCGTCATATTTTGGACAAGCATATTTCTCATATGATCAACGATTATTCTTTGAAGTTGTTTGAAATGTATTTAGATGCTTAGCGCTGCTTACTTCAGATCCTGTAGGCCTGTTTCACATCATGAATCAAGAGCTTCTTCCTATACTTTGGCCTTCCTTGCAATGCTGACTGGACGATTTCTTCCTGAGCACTTATATTTACTTATATTTTTGAGAAATATTTCTAATTTACAATACGAAATATGTTGACAATTTTGATAAGCCCACTTAGCTCCATTAATGTTATTAATGTTTTGCTCATGCTATTCTTTTGCTTTGTAGGTTTTGATTTTTTATTTTTATTTTTTTAAATGCGCAATTAATTCGCTCTTAGGACTCCCACCAGCTTGCTGCTGTTCGTACATAACCCTCGTGACTGGCCACCAGGACAAATGCCCAATGCTGAAAGAAAAACGGCCACAATTCGTTTTTGCTTTTTTTATACGCTTTATACATTTTTTTCTAACGCAAAATTTTGCGCTACTGGTACATATAAAAGTTCAAATAAAACTCCTGGTCTCGCTGCATAATTAATACTCCTGGCTCTAAAACAAATGATAACAGAATGAATAATTATCCTCTTTTTTTGGAAGGAGATCAACAATAAGCAATAGCGCAGCGCTTCGGCTGTTTGATCGTGTACATATTTCTCTAATAGGCTTTAAACTACTAAGTATAGATCTAATAATGACATTAATCAACTGAGTGAGGCCTGAGATGATGCAGGCACAAGGCTGTTGTGAGTTGTAAATGTGATCAATACACATTTGGGGGGAGCCAATCTTCGCAATCCTCGCAAAAATTGCAATTTGCGAACAAATTAGCCTCTCCTTTTATTTCTTATACCGTGACATTAGCACTGCGGACAATCTCTGTTGTGAATTCAATTTTCAGGAGGCTCTAATGCTCTTCAGACTTTATTTTGAGGATCATTTTTTTAATAACCATCCACCACCATTAAGCCTGAGATTTCACAAACATCTGTTTGCATGAATAATTAGCACATATTATTTATCTGAACAGCGAAGGACGAGGCCATTACCGCTGTTCCAATTTTCAGTGCAATTAATTCCGTATTTATTTCATGACATTCATTTCGCACATTCGTTTTCAACATAAGGGGTAATTTAATGCAAGGTAAAATCGTATGTAGAACCGTGTAACGTGGTTATTTATTTATTTATTTATTTATTTATTTATTTATTTATTTATTTGTTTGTTTGGACAGTGGCTGGCGTGGTGTAAAAAAAAGACCAGAACTATTGTATTTGCGGTTGCGCTATTCAGGCAAATTAGAAACCATACTAATGTTGCGACAGAACATTCTCTTGCAAAATGTGAAACAGCGTGAGGTTTTTAAGCTGTGCAAGAAATTAAATTACAATAAAATAAAAATCTAAAGATTTGAAAGAAATAGCAATATTTGTAAAGATTTGGAAATGAACATTAATTATATTCTAGCCTCATACAAAATAAAATAAAAAAAATCACATACACAGGAAACGACACCATACTTCAATCACGTCAAATATTTATAATTTGATTATTTATTAATTTAATTTTAGTCTCAAATTCGCTTAGTAATTACATAAACATGGCCACCTTTTCTCAACTATTCCTGTATCTATCTATCTATCTATCTATCTATCTATCTATATATGTATATATATATCTATCTATCTATATATATATATATATATATATATATATGTATATAAAGCCATGCTTTTCTATTCTACACTGCAAATGTGGTTGTTTTATGCTAAGCTATACCTAAGCGTAGCCTAAAATAAACACATCATGGGGAGCACCACACGTTCTCTAGTTCTCCTGATAGGGATGCCATTAAATAATCCGTTAGGCCTATAGGTTAAATCTGCGTGAAAGAAAGGAGCACAATGCGTTTCGCTATGGATAAATTAAGCTTTTCCCGTGTCTGAATAAGTCTATACATTGGACTCAATAAGCACTTGCATGTGGCCATTTTGAACCATGCGTCCCAAAGCTAGTAGATGTTTTTTTTTTCCAAGCCTAAATACAAATTTCCACCGCGCAAAAGTTTTCCAGCAGGTGCTTCCTTTGGTAAAGCAAAAGAAAAGCACGAGAAAGCTCAGTGCGCGCTCCCTGCATTTCGCCCTAAAGCCAAACTACAATATTCCTTTAATATATATGCAAATGCAAGTAATAAAAGAGGACCATATGGAAATGATGACGGCATGCTAGGGGTGGCTTATGCGTTTAAGAATGGGAATTTGTACTGTAGGCTTGGGATACAGGTAAAAAAAGAAGGCAAGGCTCTTCTCATAAAGAGAGTGAGTGTTGAAGGGTAAGCGCGGGAGGGGGGCGGGGGGGGGGTATGTGTGCTGGTTTCATTTCCTATGTGGTGCACTTCAGAGGATGCGGTGAAAAGACGCTGGGGTCTTGAACCGGGGAAGAAGTTGCCTCATCTCCGGGACAAATTTCACAGCTTCGCTTGGTTGTTGTCCTCTTCCTCCGTCTGTGCGCGCTCTCCCTGACCAGAGGTGTCCGCGCCCTGGCGATCAAAGGGCAACGAAAGAGACCAGTGACCCCGAATGGGGCTAAAAATGCGAATACAGAGCCTAAGTGATTGCTAATCCTATTTAAAGACACCATGGGTGGGGTGGGGTGGTAGTCTCGTCACAACACAGCCAAGACTTTTAAGGCAGGCCACGCTAGACAATATGCTCGCACATATCCATGGGCTTCGACCCTTAGATCTCTACCCTGTAACTGCCCCAGAGCTTTGCTAACATTTTGGTGTTATAATCTACTTCTCTGTAGTAAGGTGTGGGGGGTGGGGGTGGGGGCTGCAAGATCACAATGAGTAAAATTCACGGTAACGCTCTCCATGTTCATAGTGTATAATTGGAAGATTTTGTGTAATTGGAAAAGTCCTGTTACGATTTGCTTTGTGTTAAAAGTTCATGATGAACGGAAGAAATGTTACATTAACTGGCACTACAAGTTATATGGCATAAGTTTATGAAGTATTCAACTTCATAAACTTCATAATGCATTATAATATCTGTTCATAACAACATTGCAGACATTAATGCTAATTCAATAGAAATGGTCCAAAAGGACTTGGAAAAAATCTTGTTACATTAACTGGCATTACAAGTTAAGAACATTCTTCCCTCTTCTATAAAGT